TATTTTCTCCACTCGTCACAAATAATTGGTAGCAAAGCACATGTGTAAGAGTTTGGATCCAGCAGGGGTGGATTGAGTGGCTAGCCACCCCTCTTTAGAACAGACCACTGAAAAAATAGAATACTTGGAAAAACAAATGGAAGTACGTGGGTCCCCCAAAATTATAGAAATATATGGGACGCAAAACCCTGTGAAGCCAACTAGCCATCGTCCTTCCTAAATCGCTATGCTTTGGGACAAAAGTGCCATGACTTTATATAAGACCACATAATTCCTTAAGGCTGCTGGGTTAATTTGGGAGCAGGGTGGGAGGGGAGTGATGGGGGTAGTGGGGCTGTTGACAGTCGGGAAGGGGGAACGTAAAATAAAGTCTCCAGATTCTACATCCAAGGGTGGCATCTCTACTTTCTTTGACCGGCAATTTCCCGTGCTGCTAAGGTAAGTAGGTTTTTGGGTATAGTAATGTATTATAATGAGTTAGAAAAAAAAGGAAATAAAATTTAGACCAAGGATAAAATTGAGCCACAACATATCTATCAATATATTCTGGGATTTCAGTATGGAGAGGAGGGGGTGGGGGGTGGGGTGGTGAGAATAGTTGTTGTTGTCACAAAAAAGATCAAACAGTAAATTATACTGCTGTCATAATCTATTACAACTACAGGGTACCATTTGTTTTGGTACTGTAGTGTCAACCAGAGAGTACTGCCAACTGTACCAACCTTTTTTTTTGGCTGGGTTATACCGACCAGTCAAACAACACACAAATAATAAGGACGGGAAATAACAATAATTCTATAACAATAATAAATAATAATAACAACAACAACAATAATATTTATGATAATAAAAGATCTAACAGGCCTTTCCTGGATGTAGTAAGGTATGGAAGTATATATCATGAAAGAAAGGCATTTACATAGTTGACTACTGATATGATCAGTCAGGCCCCTCTGAGCAATACAATTCCCTTAGATAACTCTGCCAAAAGGCATAAGACTACTGAGCACCCATATTGCTCATTGTGAGGTAGCAATTAGCAAGGCCTATGTTACAAAAAATTAAACAGAAGAAAGCAAAAGTGTGGTAACCGGACTTTTAAATTAGATGACACAAGATCTGCAGTTTCCAAAGGTGCGAGCCCCTGAAAAGGGTGGCTATTTCCTTGAAACAAGGATTTTCAGCAGTTTTTCATTATTTCCCATTTAAATGTATTTTTAAATTTGGGGCTAAAAATATGTAGGCGAGACAAGCGCCTTGCCTTGTCTCTTGCTAGCTGCAAGCCTGCTAAATGTTTGTACATGCAGGCAAATGCTGCTGTACAGTCAGATAACCTGCTGGGTGGTACTATTGGACGGTACTATTTTCTTCGGTAATACCGGCCAAAAGGACAAGGCCACTTTTATAAATAAAAATATTCCTATAAAATAGAGTTATCCAGTAAGCTTGTGGAAACCTAAAGAAATCAGTTCTACAAAACAGCTAGTTTAACAATGAAAGCGAGAGGTGATGTACATGCCAGCAAATGTTGCTATAATTTAGGATGTCCCCATTATTTCCATGCGCCATTTAAATGTATTTTTAAATTTGGGACTAAAAATATGTAGGCGTGACAAGCGCCTTTTGCCTTGTCTCTTGCTAGCTTAGGCTTGATTTTCGCCATCTCCCGGGTCCGGTCTCGAGCCTATTGCTAGCTGCCAGCCTGCTAAATGTTTGTACATGCAGGCAAATGCTGCTGTACAGTCAGAGAACCCGCTGGGTGGTACTATTTTCTTACTAGCTTAAACCATTCAAAAGGACAAGACAGCTTTTAGAAACCTCTAGACCAACGACTGGATTGCAATGTAATAAAACAGCCAAACCTGATGTAAAAAGAAACAAATGGCATTGTACTTTCAAACGTTCCGCTGGGTGGTATTACTCTCTAACGAAATATGGTTCAAGAGGACAAGGCAATTTTTGGAAATACAACCAGTCATGTTTGCCTATTCTCGCCTTATAGGACCCACAGAAAGCAAGGTCTACACTGCAATGTATCATTAATGTAAAAGCAAACAAATCCTGCTTTTATTTTTATATGTCGTACTCATTGATTCAGTAATACCGGCCAGCTGGACAGGACAACTTAATCAGACATTTTTCAGCAATTGCTTAAGGTAAAAGGTCGGGAATTTTTCAAAGAACATAAGAATCTCAAATGTCGCAAAGTATATCGTAAAATCACACTTCCTCGGCGATAAAATGTTTCCTTTGGCTGTCAGTTTTCAGTGTTCCCTAATGTCCCCCTGGGTGGACATTCTTAGGTGATTACAACAACAAGGAATGCATGAAACTATCTTTGTTCAGCTGTCTACAATGTAACAATAACAAGCTGCTATCATGTGGTAATACATGCACCCAATTGCTGACATGGTTTAGGATGTCCTGCTAGGTGGTACTCTATTTCCTTAGATAATACAGGCCAAAAGTACAAGGCATTTTTTATGAAAAAAATCATTGCTGTTTTTTAGTTACCCTGGCCTTCTAGAAACCTAAAGAATCACTGTTTAAGAATAAAAAACCTAGATATGATATGCCTGCTAACAAATGTTGCTAAAACTCAGGATGTCCTGTTGAACGGTACTGTTTTTTTCAGTAATACCAGCCAAATTAAGGACAAGGCCACTTTATTAATAAAAATATTCCTATAGAGTTAAAGCTTGTGGAAACCTACAGAAATCAAAACAGTTTAACAATGTTCAGCTAGAGGTGATGTACATGCCAACAACTGTTGCTCTAATTTAGGATGTCCCGTTGGACGGTACTATTTTCTTCGGTAATACCGGCCAAATTAAAGGACAAGGCCACTTTTATGAATAAAAATATTCCTATTAACCCATTCGCTCCTGGAGATTTTGCCGAAAAACGCGTTTTGAAGCTAGTCGAGTGGTTTTCTGGTCACTGTCCGAGTGTCGTGCCATAAAGACTTACCACAAAACGGTTTACAGGTCGTACACTTCGTACCGCTTAATATAACAGCTTCTCAAAGTCGGTAAATGTCAAAATTGACACCGTGTGAGCAGAATATCATCTAAAAAGCTTCATAAGCAGATTTTCCGGGGGAAAATATCAGAAATCGTGGCTAATGTGCCTATTTCGGCAGCCAAATGTTTTTGTCTATCAGATGACACTCATCTGTACGGTGGCCCACAACTGTCACATCAAATACAAATTGCTCACATCAAAAACAAATTGCTCACATCAAAAACAAATTGCTCACATCAAATACAAATTACTCACATCAAATACAAAATCCTGACATCAAATACAAATTGCTCACATCAAAAACAAGATTAAACGGTCAGCGGTCGGAGAACGAAAACTATGTCCAGTTTTCACTCGGCCTTGACCCGACCGCCATTTTCTTCCTGCACATGGTATTGTCGTCGGGATGTTTTGCAGCAACTGCGGAAGAAATGTCGACAATTGCAACTTTTGTAGCAACTGCGGGAAAGGTAAGTTAAAGCTGTAAACTAGTGGCGAACGACCAATTAAGGTCTACGAAGAGTTGACTTTGTAACTCAAATCAGAGGCTCGCTCATTACACTTACCAAACCCCAGACCCTTTAATAGTACACGTTTTATTTCGTCTCTCGCCTGCGGGCATCACACCTGATTCGTGACCGTGAGTTACTGTAGCCTATCTTCCCCATTTTATATAAGATTAAAGTGTGACTGGTCAGGTCATATTCAGCAGGAAATCTTCCAACTCCCAGGATGAAAATCTTAAGCACTTGACACTGAAAAACACGTGTCGGGTTGGCTGGTATGGAAGTATAGAGATCCTTGACTGGGCAATTGTATTTAATATGCACACCCACTCGCCCCCCTTTTGAGGGACCGGGATTTTGGGGGGGGCCCTTCAGAAATCAACTGTCAAAGACCCCTCCCTCCGCCCCCAAAATCCCGGTCCCTCAAAAGGGGGGCGAGTGGGTGTGCATATTAAATAGAATTGCCCAGTCAAGGATCTCTATACTTCCATACCAGCCAACCCGACACGTGTTTTTCAGTGTCAAGTGCTTAAGATTTTCATCCTGGGAGTTGGAAGATTTCCTGCTGAATATGACCTGACCAGTCACACTTTAATCTTATATAAAATGGGGAAGATAGGCTACAGTAACTCACGGTCACGAATCAGGTGTGATGCCCGCAGGCGAGAGACGAAATAAAACGTGTACTATTAAAGGGTCTGGGGTTTGGTAAGTGTAATGAGCGAGCCTCTGATTTGAGTTACAAAGTCAACTCTTCGTAGACCTTAATTGGTCGTTCGCCACTAGTTTACAGCTTTAACTTACCTTTCCCGCAGTTGCTACAAAAGTTGCAATTGTCGACATTTCTTCCGCAGTTGCTGCAAAACATCCCGACGACAATACCATGTGCAGGAAGAAAATGGCGGTCGGGTCAAGGCCGAGTGAAAACTGGACATAGTTTTCGTTCTCCGACCGCTGACCGTTTAATCTTGTTTTTGATGTGAGCAATTTGTATTTGATGTCAGGATTTTGTATTTGATGTGAGTAATTTGTATTTGATGTGAGCAATTTGTATTTGATGTGAGCAATTTGTATTTGATGTGAGTAATTTGTATTTGATGTCAGGATTTTGTATTTGATGTGAGTAATTTGTATTTGATGTGAGCAATTTGTTTTTGATGTGAGCAATTTGTTTTTGATGTGAGCAATTTGTATTTGATGTGACAGTTGTGGGCCACCGTACATCTGCACTCATTGCGTGACATCCTCAAGAAAGAGAAACCGGCCAACCAATTACCGAATGGAACCGTCAACTCCCGCCCTTAGCGGTTCCAAATAGCTGTTTAACAGCTGGCCACGGCATTGATATTGATACATAGGCGTTGTTTTTAATTTCCTCTCGTCACGCAATAGTGCAGAATACGTAAAGTTGCTCAGGAATCAGAAAATGCTTCCAAGGCAAATTCGATAATTATTGATAAAGCTTACAAGATGACTGACTCAGGTTTAGCTGTTTATCCTTTCAACGCAGTAAAAAACGTTTGGACTTGTTGGAAAACACTACACGCAGAGTATAGTAGACACAAACAGAAAACCAGCATCTATGCCTTGCTTCATCTATGTAGACATCTGCAGCCAAGCATAGACAAGTTTTGGACCTTCTTTGCAAGAACTTTGAGCGGCCTGTCTAGAAATAATCCAAAATGGTCCAAGTGCAGCCGATTTCCAATCGAGGAAGACAAGATAAATGAGTGGTTTGATCATGAAGTGCCATCTGAAGGTAATGAAGATAATAAAGTGATAAAAATCGTGAATGTTGATCGACTGGGAAAACAGAACGAAATATACCTGAGGGATCAACCAGAAAACTTTCCAATGTCGCTTTCAAATGATAATTTCGAATTCTTTGTTCATGGAACCAACCATAAAGGCGCAAAAAAGATCATCGAAAAAGGTATTCTTCTTGGCGAAGGAGCAGCCAGGCAAGACTTCAGTGATGGATCTGGGTTTTATCTGGGCATTGACTTGCAGAAAGCCGCTATGTGGGCAAGACACAAATATCAGGACGGAGAAGCTGTTCTCATCTATCAGGTAGACAAGAGGGAGTTAAGAGGCGATAAAAATGAAAAAGGCCTTGATCTTCGCATTGACAAAGACAAGTGGAAGAAAGTAGTCAACGAATACCGTTTGACAGGCTATGGACGCAAAGAAAAGCGACCAAGCCCAGACTATCGCGACGAACTAGAACAGTACTATTTCATAGAAGGACCCATGGCTTCAGTGTCAGGAAAAAATCCTAAACCTCGAGAGAAAGGCAGTGGCACATATCAGCTGTGTGTTAGGAATGAAGCTTGTGCCAAATTATTTGACCGTAGCTTAAGTCACGTAATTTTTTTGGAGCGATGAGAAAAGAGATTGAAGAAGACTGAAAAAGTCACAAAGCAACTCCCCGAGCATGTTACTTGCAATTCGCCTATCGGTTTTCATCCTTGCATTGATGCAATTGACTCAAAGGTTAAACTGAAAATCGCGATTCATTATTTGTTTCTTACCTTAAAAAATGAAAATATTAATCACTATACCCCTTTTGCAAGGAAGAAGTTTAAGGAACTGATTTTATGGAGACTGGAGTCTACAAACTTAGCACTCTTCTCTCGGAACTTTCTGCAACAAAACTGTCTTTGCATATGGCATATCAGCTGACAGTTATAATTAGTATTTAAAATTTAGCTGCTTTGATTATTTGACTTTACAATAAGCAGTAGTTTCCTAAACTGTATAACACTGTAAATGATCTAGATGCAGACGGAAGAAAACAGACAATTAGGCTTTGTGCCTTTAGTCTTTTGTTTGCTCAGGGGCTGCGTCTCACTTACTGCAAATTTCACCATTTGCCTTATTCAGCTTCCTTTTAAAGCTTAATGATCTCTCGTCTTGGTCGGAACTGCATAAAAGAGAGTTTGCATGGAACACTTGTAACGTTTTGGCAAGGAATTTTGGTTTGAATCAATCACAAGTCTATAATATGATCGTTATTGGTCTACACGATCGGGTTCGTGTGTGTTCAAACATCTCAACTGATCATGAGTAATAAATGTTTCCCAACAATTTAATTTTCGATTTGTATGATTTTGTACTGTTTTCGTCAAACTATTTCTTATTCTACTTTAAAATGTCAGGGTCGATGGACAATATTTAAAGGTTTCTATTTCAGTCTCATAGAGAGTTCTAGCAATCATAATTATGGCTGTATAACTGAAAACAGCTGTACACTACATTTCAGCAAAGCAATACATTTTATGATCAACAGTTTCTGATTTTTACCATCAATAAACGGGTAAATGGTATACTGGTCACAGGACTGACTTATATGGCAAACTACTACCTCCATAGCAAGGGAAACTATGCAGTGCTTTATCATCTTCCTTAAGATGATTTCTTTTCTTGGAAGAGCCGGAATTCAGATTCTTCACTGACATTCTTAATATTTTTTGTAATAATATTGGTCCTAAGAAGCATCATAACATTAGCTCGAGAGAAGTATTTTGTTAAACGCATCATTCTGCAAATTTTACTTTTTGCAAGAGAGACATTAATAAATCAATCATAGAGTACATTCTCTTCTGTTTCTTCTCAATGACATCCGATCCTTAACACTCTCAGCGGATTAGGAAATAAAATCAGTTGCCCGTTAACTATATCTTACTACGGACAAATCAATCGGTTTTTCATCATCTAGCGTCAGTACCTCATGGTCAGCGGGTAGTTGTATAAACAAATAATAGCATGATTTGTACGTGATATTTGGCATAAATACCACTCGTGATATTTCACGAGCCTAACGGCTCGTGAAATTACGTAAAATAATTTATCACTCGTGGCATTTATGCCAAATATCATTACTAATCATGCTATTACCTATACAAATGACACGCAAAGATCCTTTGTGTTTTCGTACCACGATTTTCGGGTTTATTTTGCTTGTTATCCTCCAGAATCCTTCAAAATAATTTGCTTGACTTGTATTTGGTTGAAATTCGTCGATACAAGCTTTCATTCTTCGCAAAAGCCGCCACAAATCAGTGCCGCGTCGGTCGCCATATTAAATCGTTGGGAGGCACTTAACTTCCTGTGGGCCAAATCGGCAAATGTGGGGGCAATCAGAAGTAGCGCAATTTTTTGCGATTTTTTTGTTATCGTTCCTGAACTAACGAAATTTGCTGCATCGGGAGACAAGGACTATTTTGTCTAATTAATTGCAGTGCTTTTATCTTTAGGAACGTTGTACCTGAAAAACATAACTTATCAGCATCGCTCTGCATTTATTCTAAAATAAAAGTCTGACTCAGAAAGAAGTCATACTGGCTTTTGGTTAATTGATCTGCATTTTTTCATTGGGCAAATATTCTTATCACATGACCATTACGACACAAAAGAAACAGCCACTAAAGAGTAGCCTCACATCATAAACTGGGCAAACTCGAAACTGTTGTCATCCCAAGTTGTTTATTGCTTGAGGTTCTGAATTTTCTTCATTTAAAAACGAACATGGCTTCCTGCGATGTATTGACTGCCTCTCACTCAATTTTTGAGTCTGCGGGATTTCAGGCTGAACGCTTACAGGACCTTAAAATACCCGTGCTATATAATTCACGAGTTGATGAAATGGAAACCGATTCCTCTGAAAGTTCAGGGGACGACGTAAGCGATGAAGAAGAAATGGGAGAAGATATTCCTGGGTTATTTGAGCTTGAAGCCCTTACCATGATCATCAAACTTTGGCTGCGTGGAATACAACGAACGAATCAAGAGCAGAGGAAGACCCTTCAGAATTTTGAAAATAAATTGTACAGAGTCTTAAGCGAAAGTGTTGAGCCATTCAAAAAATTCTTGGCCTCAAATAAATCAAAAGATCCCGATTTGCCAATGCTCCAGCATTACATTGAACGGCTCAGTGAAGCTTGTGACGGCCTAAAGAAAGAAATGATCAAAGTCAACTTTCAAATGCCCGAGGAGGACCGAAGAAGGTTGGACAAGCACACAGTCTTTGTTTGTTCCCTTCTTGGTCTCAGTCTCGACTTCCTCGACCGACTTGAAGAAATGCCTTCAGAAATTCGTGATCATCAAACACTCTGCTACTGGATCGTGAATTTCTTACGCAATAACAACGAGACTTTAACTAGAACAGAGAAAAACTCTAGTTATAAGGAACAACTCTATGCGATTGGATTCGATCGATTGAGTTCGGCCGTTGAAACCATTTTAGAGCGCGCGGGTAGTATGGAACAACACATCGACGCTTGTGAGTGGGCAGAAAGACGAGTTCAGGACGAGTTCAAGTACAACTTTTTGCTGTCTCTGCAGAATGAAAGGTTTCCTTTTGAAATTGATGGAAGGGCTGAATGGTTAGAAAGGGATGGTGTTATTATTGCGAATGTCGTGACAAAGAAATCTGAAAGTTCCATGAAGACCATGCTGAGAAAGTTGGAACTGAATGACAAACAACAGGTTGTCCTGTTTCATGGAACAGATCATAAAAGTGCTTGCGACATCATGAGCGGTCGAGGCATACACCTCGGAGCGGGGCGCGAGAAAAGAGATTTTAGCAGTGGAGCAGGATTTTATTTAACTCAAAATCTGGATGACGCCTTGAGTTGGGCGTGCAGCACAACTGTGAAGCCCGCCATCTTGGTTTTCCGAGTTGAGCCAGATTTCTTGAACAAGGCTTCAAAACTCGACTTAAATGAAGGCGATGGACTCACCAAATGGCGTGAAATCGTTAATTTCTTTCGGTTGGATAAAGGTCCTAGAAATATTCGAAGTAGTTTGAGCGCATACGATTTGATCGAGGGTAAGTCTGCAAGAGCGACAAAAAGTGGACTAATGAATGGCAACGCTTTGATGTTTGAGCAAAACACTTCGTCCTACCAAATGTGTTTAATCTCTAAGAAATTTGCCAAGATGTTTCAGAAAAGGCTTCACTCGATCTTTTTTTATGATACTTCGTAAGCATATAAAAATTCACGAAGAGGTGAATTTACCAAAATAATGTATTTTGAACTTATACTAAAGACCTTGTCACGGTTTTCGACGCCATCTTGACGAGTAGGCAAACGCGTGAGAAATTACAGTCTTTGTATGAGAATCTAACGTCGAATAATTTCCGCCAAAAAGACTCAAAAAGGCTGTTCTGAAAAAAAACATCAATTGTAAACTAACGCTACAAAGCAAAAGATTGTCCTAAAAAATTTGGGGGGCGTACCTGTGCTTAAATTTCTCCAGAGGCTTGCTTTAGATTTTCGATATTTTTGACTGTAATTTTCCTGGGACTTTCTTACAGCCAAATGTCTAGAAAAATTTAAAAAGTGGTTCTGGGTCTTCTAGTGCATGTAACGCCCTCAAATTTTCTCAGGAGAATCCCTAGGAGTGAAGCTTTAGTTAACAAATCATATTTTTTTCAGAACAGCCGTTTTACGGAAATTATTCGACATTAGATTCTCATACAAACACTGTAATTTCTCACGCGTTTGCCTACTCGTCAAGATGGCGTCGAAAACTGTGACAAGGTCTATTCAGCTGACTAATGCCCTTGTCGTAGCTAGTGACGAAGCATTTTTCTTTGTGAGCAAACCAGTGTCCCTAATTTATGTAGATATCATAAAAATCTTGACAGTCTTTTTATCACGGGGAATGACCTCATCGAAAACGAAAAATTCGTTAAAAATTAATACAATCATCGGATGGTTCTTCATTGTAGTTTCAATTTGCTTTATAAGCAAACTGGAGTCTAAAATTTACGTATATGTATGATTTACGAAAATCTCCTCATTTTATATCACCTTGTTAGGCTAGCAATTCTTGTTTTTATGGGAATGGCATAATCTTAAACTAGAAAAATGAATCTAACAGCTTAATGAATTTTAATATTAATATGGCGGAACCTCCGTGGAATAAAATAATGGAACTGGCACTAAAAACCATTGATATGGTGGAACCTCCTTGGAATAAAATGATGGATCTGGCACTAAAAACCATTAATATGGTGGAACCTCCTTGGAATAAAATGATGGATCTGGCACTAAAAACCATTGATATGTTGGAACCTCCGTAGAATAAAATGATGGATCTGGCACTAAAAACCATTAATATGGTGGAACCTCCTTGGAATACAAAAATGGATCTGGCACTAAAAACCATTGATATGGTGGAACCTCCGTGGAATAAAATGATGGATCTGGCACTAAAAACCATTGATATGGTGGAACCTCCTTGGAATACAAAAATGGATCTGGCACTAAAAACCATTGATATGGTGGAACCTCCGTGGAATAAAATGATGGATCTGGTACTAAAAACCATTGATATGGTGGAACCTCCTTGGAATACAAAAATGGATCTGGCACTAAAAACCATTGATATGGTGGAACCTCCGTGGAATATAATAATGGATCTGGCACTAAAAACCATTGATATGGTGGAACCTCCTTGGAATATAATAATGGATCTGGCACTAAAAACCATTGATATGGTGGAACCTCCTTGGAATACAAAAATGGATGTGGCACTAAAAACCATTGATATGGTGGAACCTCCTTGGAATACAAAAATGGATCTGGCACTAAAAACCATTGATATGGTGGAACCTCCTTGGAATATAATGGATCTGGCACTAAAAACCATTAATATGGTGGAACCTCCTTGGAATATAATAATGGATCTGGCACTAAAAACCATTGATATGGTGGAACCTCCTTGGAATATAATAATGGATCTGCAACCCTCAAAGTTAAAATTTTTGTTCAGTGGCCATTTGGCGATCAGCTCTTTCGGTTTAGTCGCCAGGGGAAATGTTTAGGCGCCAAATTATATTAATATATTAATATATCAAAATTGGCATTAACAAAAGCAGTTAGCAAGTTTAACTTAAAATGCAGCACTGTCTATAAATTACTCATTTATTGTGCAAGGCATTAGTTACTGATAGTCTGAGAATAAGGTTTGCAGATTCATCTCCTTGAATCAATACTGAAACGGAATTGTAAAGACAATTACCATTTCCAGTTGTCTTTAGGACCTTCAATCCTTCTGTATAATCCCCAGTTGGTATATGAGAGCAGAACTTAACTCATCCTCTGTTAATGTGTTCAAAATTTCCCAGTCGCAACTTGAGAGGCGACCTATTTTTTTTTTTGATATTTGTTTCGCATTTCTTTTGCGACTTTTGTTGATGATGAACTTGTTTCCCCAACTATCAAATATTTTTGGAGATTTAAAGGGTCGTTTTTAATATCGCTAGACATCGCGAAAGCCTGAAAAAGGCAGGAGAGACTGAATATAGGAAGATCAACAAGTTTTCTAAATCATTGCTTTATAGAGATAACATCGCGCACGTGAAAATTTCGCAACGAGTTGTACTGGGAAAAAATGTTTTTCCCAATCAATTGAAAGGAACCCAAACAAAAATGCCGCTTACGAAATAATACATTTTCTTTTTCCTTTATCATCGCTACAGGTGTTTAAAAAAAAACATTTTTTGCAACAACCATAAGCTGTCAGTTTTGCGATGTTTAGTTTCGCTTACATTTATCGCTTTTGTTTACAAAACCGCAATTCAACTCGCAGCACGGTTCACATGTGATGGTTATCACATAATGTTCTGTGTTGAATTTGCACCAATTTAGCTTTCCCTCTTCATGTTGTTAGATTGTTTCAGTATTGATTCAAAAATATTTATAATATGTAGTCCAGTTAAAAAACCACCGAACCTGGCTTGACAAGCATTCCTAAGATATCGAAGAAATCGTCACTGTCGACAAGCAAGGCGCTTCGATTGCGTGCCATTTGTCACGTGTCAAAAGTTAAAATGTCACGTGCAAGGCAACAGACTGAAGGTGATTTGGCGAACGAATGCAAGTCAAGTTTCATTGATGTTCATTTTCAAAACGCTTAGCTCTGAGATTTTTTTAAGTTTTCAATTTAGCATGTTTTTCAACGGAAAAGTAAAAAAGTAATAGTATTCAAATCAGCTAGAATAAATGTTCTTCATATTTCAGTAGAAGTGATTACCATTTCTGTTTCTATACGCCAACACGAACCTATTCTTCACGGTCGCCAGCTTGGTGACTATTCTCCTAATCAAGTTGCCAGTTCCAAAATTTTAGGCGCCATGGCGACTAAAATGGTCGCAACTTGGAGGGTTGATCTGGCACTAAAAACCATTAATATGGTGGAACCTCCTTGGAATAAAATACCGTAAAATTCCGAAAATAAGCCCCGGGGCTTATATTTTTCAAAGGCCCTTTTTGAGGGGCTTATTTTTGGAGGGGCTTATATTCGGAGGGGCTTATCTACGGAGGGAAATTTGTGTTTGAAAATCGATTGGGCTTGCCTTATAGTTGGAAGTAAATTTACTGTGTTTGCTTTGTTTTACTTTGTATTTAAGGGCAATTGCCAAGTACAAGCCCCTGGGGGCTTATATTTGGAGGGGCGATTTAACGGAGGGTTTTTTGTGTTATGAGTTTGGAGGGCTTATATTTGGAGGGGCTTATACATGGAGGGGCTTATTTCCGGAATTTTACTTAATTTTATTTTATTGATCTGGAGGGCTAAGGCATTGGTGCTCTGTGAGAAAACCTGCGAGCTAAAAAATCCTGTTTCATCATCCTTGGAAGGGGAAAAAAGTTCTTTTTACATAAGAATGGGTAAAAGAAAAAGATACCTTAGGAAGAAAACTTTTGCTTCGAAAGGAAGCCGCAGCTCTAAAACTTATAGTTACAATACTCAGCATGTGCCTGACAAAAATTTGTCTTATGACAAGCCATATCTGAACAGATTTCTGTTTTCACAAGAAAGGCACAAAAGAAAACGATAAAATGAATTTAGCAAAATTATGGCTTTTATTATAGTTTTCTTCAAGTTGCTTTGTTTTTGTAGTTATATGAATGGAACATTTTGTTTTGGTGGAACCACACTTAACGGTCAAATGCTCTTGAGGCATGCACTTAAGTTCTTGCATCGTAGTCTTAAAGTGCCCTAATTGTTTCGCCTGCAAAAGAGTCAAAATAAGCTTATTTCGTGTGAAAATGACCTATGTGTTCAAAAAATCATCAGGTACTTAACATTTCCACAATTACATTGCGACGTTATACAGTGCACGATTTGGGGATAACTGATTAAGGACACAAAGTTTGTGATCGCATTACATGCTCACACAATCACTATACCTTATTATGAAGAATTATGAAGATGACTAGTTTTTTTGTCTGTTGTAACACCCATGCTGCGGAACCCACTTCCAGACTATATTCAAAGGTCGGAGTGATTTATGAACCAAATTTAGAACCGAGATTAATAAACTTCTTTTTAAACACTTATACGCCGACTAGTAGCCGGCCAATACAGCCATGCCTCCTAGCTCCTCCCTCAAGGGTGTTTCGCCTCCTCCCACGGGAGCGATGAGAGACGGTTGTATTCGCAGGCTAGCTGATTAGATTTTTTTATCTAAGCTTATGGAAATTGAATGTATTAAGATCTATTAATCATATGTCTTATATAGATGCTATCGTCGCCATTATTAGGAATTAGATTTTATTAGTATCTTAATATTTTCGCTTAATAGTTTTATGGAAGATCTGCAGACATAAAATAGTGATTACATTTTATAGAATAAGTGATAGATATAGGTATTTAGTATTAAACCAAATCAGTTGATAGTGAAAATGCACTCGATAGACCCCCTAAACTGCCGAATAAAACGTAAACCAAGCTCTTACTAACAGAGGCCTTTATTTACAAATATCACGTTTCATTTTTTCGAACTGATTTCGTAAATACTACAACTCTATCCCCCTCAGTATATTCGGTATGATATTCACCACTATTCATCTCCCATTAGGGGGATAGCCCTAATATATTTAACTTTTGTGAATTAATTACAAGTAGTTGCCACCACTGTTGTGAATTAATTACAAGTAGTTGCCACTACTCTCTTCTCAGTCGCTATTTATGTG